TAAAAAGCATTGTTTTGTTGCAATTAATAATGACTGTGGACTACATTGTGGTTGCTCTCAGTGGCTCTCAGGAGATGGACACATGAGGGCTACACATGTGGCCATCTCTTTGGCAGAATGAGTGCTACGAAACAGGCTGGGGTGAGATGCAGGGCCATGGCCTGCTTAGGGGGAAATATATCCCTGCACCATGAGACACACTCAACATAACCCTCACTCCCACTTTTTGCCCTCCTTAAGAAAGCCTTGGTGTTTCCCCTTCACAAGTGCCTGCCTCATTTTGTTAAACAAAGCCAACTCCGAGAACCTTGCTCCCGCTACTGAAACTAGACCTTGCAGTACACAGGCTCCATAAATCACACACAAATGCTGAGTACTTTAGAAAATACAGAAGCAATGAATTTTAAGACAGTTAAAATATGACCTGTCATTTTATTTCAGTACTGTTTTCTTCCATTTAATTATTATTTGAAGGTGAACTCTGTGCCTATTTAAGGAAATGCATATGTAGGCATTTATGGTACCTTTCTCTCAGACTATGGGACACGTACAAACCAGTGGCATGACAAAGTTAGGCTAGAGTGTAAAAAGTATATAATGTAAAACTTTGCTATCATCAGCCTCCTTTCTCTGCTGACTTAGCAAGGGGGCACTTTGGCAGCAAAACCTGTGGTACATTCGAAAGAAGAGGTATTCATCCTATGTAAAACCCAGCAGAGCCAAGGAGTCACACCCCTAGGCACAATGAGCAGCTCATGGGTCATCCCAGACTCTATGGATATTCTGGAGATACTAAGAACAGATTTTTCAGATGTTCGAAAACCATCTGAAACACCTCCTGCCAGGTTGCATAGCTGGTGCATCAGCTGGCACAAAGACTAGGATGCTCAGCTTTGCTTTCCCCTTGGAGGTTTGAGAGATGTCTCCAGTATCTTAATTTTATACAGGGAGACAGGGATTTATTTTTCCCTATTATGTAAAAATCTTATTCCACTCACCGTCACTAGCACACCAGTGAGTTGCAGAAATAGGATTACATACTGCAGGTCTCTCTCTCCCCCATCTCAGTTGCTTATTTACCAAACAACTCTCATTAATCCTCCTTACGGTGTTTACTTCCCACTTCCCTCCAGTATTACAGTCTTACTATTATTCAGGTACTTATAGATGTTAAAAAAAAATAATCTTAAGACACAGCCACATCCAGAACTGATTGAAACGAACTGAGTTCCACTGATTGTTTTTGAGTCCACATTGATTTACACCAGATGAAGATTTGTTAGAGCTGCTGGCATTCACAGTGCACTTGCCCAAGTCCACAAACCCTGTAATACTGAAATAAGCCAGCTTCCTCCAGCCTGTGCTAGTTTATGAGTTGTCCCTGGACCTCCTGCTTTTATTTCTTTCTGACAGCCCCTCCAGGAAAGAAAAAAAATGGCAGGTTTTTACAGCCAGAGAAATACTTGGAGGTATTCTAGATTTTGAACCAGTTATTTGTCTACTCTTGCTATGTGTTACAGAAATGGCTGGTTGAGAGATCACTTCCCTTATCCACGAAGTGAGCAGAAAAGTCCCATTGCTTACCGAGGTTCTGAGCCCTGCTCAGTGATTAAGCCTGTCCTAGAAACCTACAAATGTCATGGGCTGTGACTGCTGCCAGTGCCAAGAACCAATCCTTAATTTTTTTTCTAATGTGCCATGGAAAAGTTTCTTAAGAGAAAGTTTAAACTTTTTAAAAATAGGAAATACCCCCCTGTCCCCAAGACCAGAGAAAATAGCTTTTCCTCCACTGCCAAACTGAGGGTGCTATCACCACGTATGTAACTATGCTACAGCACAACACAGTATCATGTGTGATCTCCTCTGGTGCCTGGTCTATGCAACAGTGCACATCTGTACTTAGTGTGCTGGTCATGCAGTGTCCAACGCTGCAGACACCAGCATCACACACAGTAAACTTACAGGCTGCTTTAAGAGCCTTTGAAGAATTTCCCCGTACTTAACTTCCCAAGAGTTTAACCTGTCTAGCGGTTCTCTGGGTATTAAAGGTGACTGGCACATTTTGGTATTAGTTCCCTTATGGACCAGGGAGGTCAAATCCGTCCAGTGGAATGGATTTCAGCATTTCTTATGTCCATTTAATTCTGGGAGAGCCTGAGCTCTCTAGTTTCCAGGGGAGATGCAGGGATGGAGGGAGCAGCATTCTTGCCTGGTTCTGGTAGTTATTTTATACAGAGAACCACCAATCCACTAGGTTGTATTTTATCACAAAAAGCCTTAGTGACTAAAATTTGTGATCTACTGAAGTTTTAGCTTTTATGAGGGAAAACAAACCACCCTAGGAGAAACAGTTTTAATATAGATTGAATAAAAATACAGTTGACTTATGATACCTTGAGGACAGTCGCTGCCTCTCTTCCTGCTACAGAAAAGCAGACATGAGAGAGTTCGATTGGATCTGGCCCTTTGAAACCAGTAAATGAGATTTTAACTTAAGCACAATAGGATTTATCTTCTTTCTACTTCAAATTTGATTTTCATGAAAGTGAGGGATTAATACAACAGATCCAAGCTCTGTGCAAATAAATCTCTGCCTGCACTTTCCTACTAAAATATTTAACTCTTGCTACACCCTAAAACCAGATTACTGCTGTTATTTCAGTCTTCAGTATCTCTTCAGTGGAGGTGGGAGACAGACTTGTCAGAGATGCTGCAATGAGAGAGGTCCCAATTCCAGGAGATGCGCAGCGATGAGGGCCTGGGAGGAGGACTGTATATGGAAGCTGGTGGATGAGGGTGTGAGACAGCATGGGGCAAAACATGGTTATGGAGCTGAAGGCTGGGAACACACTGGAGAGACTCTCCAGAAGGGATTCAGCATCATTCAGATTAATCCCCTTGCTCTTTCTCTAGCCACTTCTACCCCCGAGCAAAAATCAGAGTGAAAGATTTCTCACACTAGCTAAAGTGCTAAACTAAGCTAAACTAGCTAAAGCCAACTCATCTCAACAATAGAGGATAATGCTCTGTGTGGAAGGCAGGGATGCTTCTGCTGTGAAACGTCTTATTTTATTTCCCAGCAACTATCAACAGGTATCTTTTACAGTGAATCAAGGAACCTGAACTACTGGGGAATGCTGCCAGGCACTTTAGAGCATCATTTTAGCAGAGATGTTTCAGGAAGGACTCATTGATGAAAAGAAATGCTCTAGTTAGTCTGTAAAAATAAAATTAATAAGATTTTCTTTTATAGCTGTCTATCCCACATCTGAGCAGTTTTTAGCTTAGCATTTGTCAGCAGTATGGATGTCAACAATGAGAAGATCTAAGAGGAATTTTCGCTATTGTTGAGCCTAATGCCTGTTTCACGCTGTTTACAAATAATGGGTGTCTTCATCAAGTACCTGCATAACTCATCACCAACATGAAGACTGTTATGTGAATTCCCAGTCTTTTCAAAGCAGCTCTAAACTTGTCTGTTTAAATTTCCTTCCTGTTCCCCCCATCTACCAGCATCATAGCAGATGCTAGGTACAAGCTGTCCTGGAGAGTTACAGCTCCTGTAGGTATATTTTGCAGCCTTGGCAGAAATCATTCACAATTTGGCACTAGGCAGACAAATAAAATATCTGGTTTTGAAACTAATACAACTTTTCATGTGAAATTTGACCAATCACCCAAGAGCAGGTGATTAAGAACTACAAGTAAGAGATTTGGCACTGTGGTAGCAATCCAACTGGTCTCCAACTTCAGTCGTCCATAGATGATTTTTTAAAAGTGCCATTGCTACAGCGAAAGCTTTCCAACTCCTCAAAACTAATACACATTCATTTTATCTAAATTAGAATAGCAAATATACTTACGTAAATTTAATAAGAAATTAAATACAGTCTTCTGTCTTGTTATTTGAATTCTCCCTTTTTGATGCTCTTGGATACACTAGCCTTCAAATTCTGTAGAAATTTTTCAGACAACCACAAAGCTCGTGCAATCCGCCATTGTGATACGCCTGCTGAGCCTCACCAAAAATCTTGCAATTGCTTTGCATCCAGATAACTTTTCACAAAAGATATTTTCATATATTTCTTCTTCTCCAAAAATATCACTCAAAAATTACAATGTTGAAAAAAGCCATAATTTAATCCAACATGCAATTCAGATGTCCCTGCAATATCTCTTGAGAGCTGAGGATTGCATATTGCATTCTCTACTGCAGGTTGTCACCCAGTTGTACTACCAGCTCCTGCCCTAGACTCGCATGGTATAAAACACTGACACCATGAAACCATGATTGTGGGGTGTTGTCAGAGCCATACTGAAACCCACAGAGGAGAAAAGAAACTCCACCCATCCAGGCTACAATTACCACCAGTTACTTTCTACCATAAACTGATGCTTTGGACTTGCCGCTGGAGCCTCCATACAGAAATGTTCAAGTTTTGGCTTTTTACCACCAGAAATATGAAATATTATTTACGTGAAGAAATTATTCCCACTTCCATTTTTCCAAGTAACTGAAGTCAATACTTTCTAACCACCAGAGGCCTATGTAAGCACGTCTGTTGCAAAGGCAATGAGCTGAAATGGTCACTACACACCACGTTGTACATGGGCTGTTACATTCAGAAAGACAGGTTTTGAATTTGATTCTGTAGATGATAATTTTGAAGTAAGAATAAATTAAAATAGTCTCCAAATGAAAAAAAAACTGCACAAATTACCCTAGAGTTTGAGTTATAAGAGTTTGCATAATTTTGAAATGCTACAATGAGTCATGGGCCTGGGCCAAAAATCTCATATTCCACATGTAAATTTTGAATACCCTTTACACAGGCAGGGTATGGTACATAATGTGACTTTCCAGTGAAAACACAAGTTGACTACAGGATGCATTGTGCCTTTAAGATGCCTTTAAACAAGACAAAGTGTCAGTGAAGTCTTGGATCACCCTTTGTGGGGTTGCATTGTGCTAAGCACAGTAAAAGCATCTTGGGTCTTACCTTTTTATGGCTTTGTAGCAAATGATGACAACTATGAAGAGGAACACTAGCGTGGCACAGCATACTGCGATGATAATAACCAGGCCTGGCCACCAGGTCTCTTCAGTGGGACAAAAGGTAGACTTGGGAGCTGTAAAAAAATGTGTAAAAATACCTGAGTTCTCCCAGATGAGCAGTATATAATCAGATAGGCTTCAGTCACCCACGCAATAGCACCATGCCAGTGCCACAGATACATGCAAAGATATTATTTCACACTTAGGACCCATTTTTTCCCCAAGCAATCAACTCTTCTTTTGGGTACTAGATATTTCTTGCCATGGTCCCCAGATGACCAAGTTCTCCGTGTCAGCGTTGTCTGCTACCTGGCACTCAGCTCAGAAGAGAAAGGCTCAGCTCTGCTACCCATAGGAAACCTCTTCTCCCTCTGCATTTGCCATCTCCTGATGCACCAGATTTAGAGTTCTAGAGAGAGATGTTACACTGATAAGGGTAGGCTTTCAAATCCCATTAGGGGATGTTTATCAGGGAGCCACAGCAGTGCCTACCAATCAGTACTGCAGCTGCTATCACTGGAACGAGGATGGGGGATTTGTTTTAAAAGACCATGAATTTTATTGCATTTATTAATTGCTTTTAGAGGACTACAGTTCACAAGCTTCTTTTCTGTCACATTGTCATTGAATCGTAAGTCAAATAATTGAGAAATGTTAACGTTAGGAAATGTTAACTCCTGAAAACAAGCAACCATTATTACATTTTTCTTGTTTGATTTAGGGCTAGAGTTGTCTATGCATGTACCACTCAAAAGAAACAATATTTTGCATCAGAAGAAATACTGGTGACATTTAGATAAAATATTTTCCTTCAGGACCATATTTCTTTTCTCATGCTTTGAGTGGACACTTACTTCCTGAAGGATGGTGAGCAACAGACAATGCCATGAGCAGTACCAGTGTGTTGCAGAAGGAGAACAGACCCTTAACACAATGTGAGCAGTCTTAAGAAACTCTGAGAATTTGGGTCACCTTAAACAACATTTAATAATGAATCAGTCAATGTGACTGACTAAATCTACATGTTCAGTTAAGTAGGAGAGAAAATTAAATATAGCAAAAGGCTTTTTTTTGAGTCTAATTATTTATTATGATATATCCTATATTCTGAACTTCCTGTTATACACACCAAAAATAGCTGCACAAGTTAAAATATGTCATCACACTTGCCTCATTTATTGTGATACATTTCCTGTGCTTCCTGTGTTTGATTAGAAAAAGACATGCACATACTCTTAGGTTAACACTCATTAGGTTAAATCCTGAAGCACACAATTATTGAGAAATGATTTTTTTTTTCCAGTTCCATGGTCTATAGAAAAATTAGCAACATTCATCCTTGAAAAATCTGCAGAAGCACCTTAGTAGGTAAAGAACTATAAGAAGCACTCAAAATAATAAAGTAAACAGCTTGACAATTTATAGGTAGTTCCAACATTGGGTGCCACATATGAGGTCTTGTCTTTCTCACATGCATCAGCCTTCAAGATATGCTATCACTATGATCATACTTGTCTAGCAAATATTGCCTTCAATTTATTGTACATCTCTTGACTGTGAGGGTAGAGGGTTTTTTTTTGTTTGTTTGGTGGCTTTTTTCCTATGGGAGAGAAATAAGGCTGAAAAATAAAGTAATTTGAAGAACTAGTGGTTCCTGGCTCCTCTTTTGACAATGTGTCCAGTCCTAGGCTATCTCAGCACCTGAATTTCTACTTTGTTACTATGTCAGTCACAGAAGTCCATTTTCAGTGGGTGATGAAACTATTTATTGCCTTATGATAAAGCTAATGTTTTTAATTTTCTCTGAATGTTTTCAATATTGCTATTTTCTAAGATTCCAGAACAGAAAACATTTCAAAGATGACAAAATGTTTGCATGAAGGAGCAAGTCTCAGGGCCAACTCTACCCTCCTGGTGTTGTCCTGATAAAATGTTGCAGTGAAATCAAAGGAAACACATCCATCAGCAGATGCCATGTAAAGTTAGATGAGATTATAAAAACTGAGGTCAGTTTGGCTATCTTTATCTAGTCCTTGTTCCTCCTCAACCAAACTAGCTGTAAAGCGAAATGGGACGGTGAGACTGGCTTGTTCCTTAGCACAACAAATGAGATTGACAAATGTCAAAGGGTATAAAGCAAGGCTTGTCACATGCCTGTGCATCATGTGCTCCATGATGTTTTATCACAGTATTTGTGCATGGCAAATAAACAGATATATATGGAATTGAATAGTGAGTACAACTCCTGACAGCATATATGTTGCTCCTAACAGGAAAGTAAGAATTGCTGATGTGGAATCAAACCCTCCTCATTTGACTCAGTTCCCTGCCCCACTGGTCCAGACCAGGCACTCAGACAGAAGCATGAGAAATGATTCTGGAAACTATCAAAGTCTGTTTCTTAGTGGCCGGTGGGTTTATAGAGCTTTAAAGATTCTTTTCTGTTTCTATCCCTTATTATTGCAGTGCTAGGCAATCTTTTTTTCCCTCAGAAATGTCTGCTTTTTTTTCCAATAAGCTCCTGGTTGCATGCTATTTTCAGTACATTTTCAGTTGCTGCCTTTCTCAGTACACATTCACATAGCCCTCATTATCGTGGCATTTCCACGTCTTTAATACATTTCTACTCACAATTATCCTCTGAGGAAGAGCAGAACTGATTTTAATCATAGAACCATAGAATCATAAACTGATTTGAGCTGGAAGGGGCCTTTAAAGGTCATCTAGTTCAAACCCTCCTGCAATGAGCAGGGACATCTTCAACTAGATCAGGTTGCTCAGTGCCCCATCCAGCCTGACCCTGAGTGGTTCCAGGGATGGGGCATCTACCCCCTCTCTGGGCAATCCGGTCAGTGTTTCACCACTTTCATTGTAAAAAAATTTCTTCCTTATCTGATATAAATCTACCCTCTTATAGTTTAAAACCATTACCTCTTGGTCTGTTGCTACAGGCCCTGCTATAAAGATTGTCCCCATCTTTCTCATAAGGCTTCTTTAAGTACTGCAAAGAAAGGCTGCAATAAGGTCTCCCTGGAGCCTTCTCTTCTCCAGGCTGAACAAGCCCAACTCTCTCAGCTTTTCTTCACAGGAGAGGTGTTCTATACCTCTGATGATTTTTGTAGCCCTTCTCTGGACCTGCTTTAAAAGGTCCATGTCTTTCTTGTGCTAAGGACTCCAGAGCTAGATGAAGTACTCTGGGAACTCACAAGAGTGGAGTAGAGGGGTAGAATCACCTCCCTTGACCTGCTGGTGACATTTTTTTGGATGCAGCCCAGGATATGATTTGCTTTCTGGGCTGCAAGCTCACACTGCTGTCTTATAACCAGCTCCTTACCCATCAGTACCCCCAAGACCTCCTCCACAGGGCTGCTCATCCCTTTGTGATGATGAAAAGCCCAAGCCTGGCCCACGTGAAACTTCCCAAAGAGCTGACAAGGTGCCTGGGAAGCACCATATCCTCAGAGAGGTGCTGCTTGGAAAGTGCCACACTGAGCTCTTGATGTTAGGGAGGCGTTGATCGCCTGTGTGTGTCTCACAGCTCTGTTCCCTGGGGCAGCCCAGGGCTGAGGAGGCTCTCCATCCTGTGCTTGGGTCCCAGACCTTGGCTCATTGCCCACAGTGTAGAAAAACAAGCTGCACCTGAGAAGGGCTGAGCCAGCATATGTCATGCCCTCAACGATCAGAAATTATTCTGGGATGAGGCACCTGCAGCACACTTTTGCAATGGTGCCACTTTGCATGGAATAGCAATGTATTTCTTGGGCACCCTCTAGAAGAGCAAAGACATGGATGCCAAACCCTCCTTTAAGGAGATACCGAAATGATTACTAAAAACATTGAGCAGAAAATGCCCCACATGATCTGTAACAATGATAATGTCCAGTTGTTTCATCATTTTACCGAATGCAGGAAAACACTTGAATTTTCATGGTCACTTCTTTCTTTGTACCATCTCTTTCAAATCCATTATAAACCCCCATAAGGTGAATAGGTTCAAAACCAAAATGTACCTTTAATTTGTTGTGTAAAGAAACAATAAGCCAGATACTGCTGTCATCCACAGCGGTGTATCTGAGGAGCAGAGGACTTCCTTGGCCACAGGGAATCCCTTTGCTATCACTACAGGGCCAGCTGAGGGCTGGCCAGCCTGGCCATGGTATTTGCTCTCTTGGGACCCACATGGTCTACTGTGAGCATCTTCGGCTGTTCAGAGCGTGATTGCCTTCTGGTTTGACATATTCCTGGCTGCTCTTCACTGGTCTCAAAATCAGCTGAATGGAGAAAGTGATTTTCACAGTGCAAAACAACTCAAGGAAAATGTGCCTTTTCTCCTAAGCCCTGAAGTGTCTTTCTGCACATTGAACACATTGTTGGGTGGAAAGTGGTAAGAAAGTGATGACATCTTAAAGAAGATAGGCAGGGTGAGCTAAGCAATCACAGCCTGTTGTCTTCTCAGAAATCCTGCCAAAATAATGAAGATGGATGCTAAACAGCACAGGTTAGGAAAACATATCTTGTCAAACAAACTAGATATTTTCTGAGGACATTACTGGTTTGGTAGATAGATGTTTTAGTGCTGGTGTGATAACTTTAGGCTTTGGTTTGACATTCAACTTAATTCCACACGATGCTGGGGTTAGAAAACTATAAAGCTACACAATAAGTGTGGCACACATAAATTCAGCTAAAAGCCAGAGGACTCAAAAATCTAGCTATAACCGGAAAGTCACTCCTGAGAGAATGTGTTTTTTAACAGCGACTTCCTCCTTTCCCCCAAAAAAGTGATGGATACAGGCAGAGTTTGTAAATGACTCAGGAATGTACTCTACTACAAGTGGAGACTATGCGTATTTAGATTAGAAATGGGGTAATTACTATCATTGAGGGTAATTATCCATTACAACAGTCTATCAGCTCTGTTGGAGCATTTCACTGGAAAAACTTAGCTTAAGGTAGGTTTTCATTTTTCCTAAAAGATGTCTAAATTAAGCTCATGAGATTTGACTCAGAATTTAAGTAAATAAATAAAATGCTCTGTCTCTGGAAAGTCCGCATGAGCACAGTGCCTTTTTCC